CTCCCATACAAAAAACCACCACCAAAAAAGGCTCGCCCATACTAACTGCGCTTCCCACCACGCTTTTTATATACACTCGCCCACCTCAACTATACTCAACGTCCAGCACCAGAGGACGTTCAAGGTAAGCTTGCTGCTCTTCTTCCATCTTCTGCGACTCTCTCGCCCTCCATCTTCAGCCTGTTTCTCTGCTTTCCGTTCTTGCTTGCTCGCTCGCTCGCTCTACGATCTATATAGATCTATACCAAGCACACCAAACTCCTGCCTGCACGCAATTCCGTCGTCGCAAAGCTCTGCTGCTCTGTTTATTCCTCTTGATCAGTCTCGTCAACGTCTCTTTTTCACTTTTTGTCTTATTATTATTATTATTTTTCGGTGGTCGCTTTTTTTTCTCTCTTCTCACCCTCTCTCCCCGGGCCTTGCTCTACGTGTTTTTCACCACCATCGCAGCCAGCCAGTTCACTACTGCTTGACTACACGCTCAAACAGCGCGTCTGACGGTGTAAAACACGTCGCATCCTCCTTCTCATCGCTGTTGTCGCTTTTTCGAGCTCGTTTTCACTGCGGTTTTGACGTGCTTCGGACGCGACTCGGCCTGGAGCTTTTCCTTCCCTCTCTCTCTTTTTTTTTTTCTCACTCTCTTTTTCCCTCTCTCTCCTTCTCCTTCCAACCTAGCGTACATCACCTACTATATACTCTCCTCGACAGACTCGACGTCCCGGCTAACAAGACGCCTTCCACTTCAGACTCTCAAGTCACCAATATAAAGACTAAAACAGTCAAGATGCCTAAGGAGAAGACCACTGCCCGCAAGACCAAGCGCGGCGTCGAGAAGAAGAAGAAGGGTAAGCTCATTCTCTTCTCACTCTGCACCCAGGCAATGGCTAACAGACGGACGGTAGACCCCAATGCCCCAAAGCGTGGTCTCTCTGCCTACATGATCTTCGCCAATGAGCAGCGTGCTGCTGTCCGTGAGGAAAACCCAAACATCACCTTTGGTAGGTCATCATTTTTCTTTTCTCTTGTTTTCATCAAGAGAGATATAGAGAGAAACAGAAAGAGACTAACTTGTCCGTGTAGGCCAAGTTGGCAAGGTCCTCGGAGAGCGGTGGAAGGCCCTGAGCGACAAGCAGCGAGTCCCCTATGAGGAGAAGGCTGCCACTGACAAACAGAGATACGAAGACGAGAAGGCCGCATACAACGTAAGTCCCCTTTTTCCTCTTCTCCCCCCCCCGCTCATATCTTCTTCGAGTAGCATAACCAGACTAACGTAAACCAGAGCCGTCAGGATGATGACGAATCCTCTTAAACGAGAAGAGAAACCAGACATGAAGTGAAAAGGCAACCGTTCCATAGTTGCTCTTTTAGAAGACATGTCTTCTCTCCTGTATTTGCTGGTGATTGCTTGCTTGCTGGTTACGTCGTCTGTATCTGTTATACCGTTTAATCGCTCTCTTGTCTCGCTTGTCAAGGTTGTCTCCCTTTCGTCGCTTTCCTCTTTCCTTTCCTCTTTTCCTCTTTTATTCAAACGGCTTTTCTTCTGGGACGGACGGTATCGATGGGGGTTTCATGGTTCCAAAGCTCTATTATGTATTTTCATCATCCCACCTTGAGTGTTCCCCCCTTACCTTGACTGCTTCTTCCTTTGCTTTTTTTTTTTTTTCAGGTATTGCCTCACCGTCGATCCTTCGACTTCTTCGCTTCTCTCTCCGCCGTTCTTATTTCCACGCCATTTTTAAGGACAAGTAGTGGGGGGGGGGGGGGGGGAAAGGTTGTGCTTTTGTTGTAGCTCGCTCACGAATTGTATCACGTATTTTCTCTGGGGTTTCTCTGTCCGCCTTATCGTCCAGTCTAATCATCACTGACTGCCAGAAAGGAAAAATGCAAACCAACGTCGGCGTCAACGTCAACATCAGCACCCGTTTCTTGTTCAAGTCGTCGTCGGCTCTCACCAGCATCGAGAGAAGGAGGAAAAAGAAGGGGAAAAAGGCGAAAAATAGGGCAACAAGGAGGTTTTAACACGTCGCTTGCACGTGATTAGCATGACTAAGCTGACAACTCACACCTGCAGCGTTGACCATGTGATCGCCGTTTTGGGCAGTCAAGGCGACTTCGTCTTTTCTCGTCTGCGGCTCAACGGCCAACACGCTGCAACTCACTTGTCAGGCCGGCCATACAGACAGACAGACAGACAGATATGACAGCTGGATACCCCCTGAAGGCGCTGGCGAGAGCCTGACGATATGACAAGGGCGAGGGCGAGACCCCGGTGGTGATTAAGTTTGTGTGTTTATAAAGGGCCGTGGGCTGCTGCCCTGGGAGGTTCTTAGCTGACTAGTGGAATATATACCCTTGACAACCGTACAGCGGTGTGCTGCACCTTTTTTACTTGATACAAACCACTCTCTCTTGACTTTCACTCGCCATCCTCTCTTACAAGAGCCATTGTCGACAGTTACATATATATATTTGTATAAACTCCCACACAATATTCTATCTCTCGCTTGGGATAACTTGGTACAGAATATGCTTCAGGGCTAGCATGCCCAACCAATAATACCCAGAAATGAATCTTCTCGACATAGCAAAGTCATGCGAGGACATCGCGCGGGGAGTCTTCAGCTTCCTCCCCCATGTCCCAACCGCCTCAGTGGACATCTCCGCCGTCGTAGCGGAACTCTACGCCATCGGCGCTAGTCTCCGCTCCCTAGATGGCTCCCACAAGACTCCCTCTCGCCGCCAGAACTTCACCCATATAGCTACTGACCTGGAGCTCGTGGTGCGTGCTAGTCTGAGGCAGACGCTGCGGGATATCTACGATTCGTTGAGTCGGATGAACCAGGCCATCCATATAACCAACCTGCACAATGCGGCTGCGACGGCGGCGGGGACGCCGATAGCGGACACGATCGCTGCGCTGCATAAGCGGACTTGGGATGGATTGTGGCATTACTTTTATACCCAGGCTGGTTATTCGTTGCACCTCCGGTTGAAGTATTATAAGCAAATGCTCGAAGAGATGTCGGCCATTGCGCAAGGGTAAGTTATTTTTACTTTACTTTATTTACTCTACTATATTTTGTACAATTAAAATGTATACAGTATATATACTTATGCTTGTATAGAGAGGTGGCGGATGAGGTTATGCTAGCTAGCTGTCGAGCAGCCATTACTACGCTGCGTGTAATCCAGGACAGGCAGGTTGCTATCCAGGCCCAGCAGGAAGTCCAGAAACAACACCAGCAACATCATCATCACCAACAACAGCATCAGATGCCAGGACAATTTCCACAACAGCCGCCATTTCATCATCATCATCCTCACCATCCCCACGTATCAGCTGCTGTGCCTCCCGTACCTCCGCCGCCCCCTCCACCACCGCCGCCTCCTGCTCCAGGGGTGCCAGGTGTTACTCCAGTTGCCATGCCTCGCGCAGTAAGCCCCGATGACTCATTGGAGCATATCTTAGATCCTCCAAGGGCACCTGAGCCGCCAAAACGGAAATCATCAATGAAAAAGGCTGGTTCCTTTGAGCGACAGAGACCGAACAGAAAGGAACATCGTGATTCCATCCACTGGTCCAACCCGACTAGTCCCAAGTCCCCTGTTGACTCAAGTAGTGATACCATGTCATTGTCCTCCAACTCTTTTAAACACTGGGCTATGAAAGTCTACAGCTCTGTCGCTACCTCAACCCCCTTGCGATCCACAGGAGATATGTAAGACTACTACTTCCTTAATCCCGCTATTTTCAATTTTTATAAGTACCCTCTCACTAATGCACTCTCGACCAGGACAAAGTGTTACGGTGAAAACATGCCTGAGGTGAAGGCTCACTTGGATAAGGGATACATCGAACTACTACAGCTGTAGGCCACCACCTGCCAATCTGCAGCCGCACAACTCACAGACCGATTTAAACTCACATAGAGCAATGATCATAGGAAATTTCCCGGAAGACCACAGGTCACGTTCTCCTTTTTTCTGCGCGACAGGGATCACCGAGTGAGAGTGCTCTGTAAAGTCAAGTCTGACAAACGAACGGCGTACAGCAGCACCGTCATTACGTCGCTGCTTATCCATCGGGAGGGATCGTGCCTTATGCTTTGCCACCCATCCAGTGGTGAGGAAGACCGTGTCGCATGGGCGAATCTACAATTCAGCACCCTCGAGTGTACGTCCCTTTACCGTTATTAAGCCATTGGTTTAACGACTCATGCTAACTTACGCCCACAGACATGGTATTGTTCTTCTGTACATTCATCGCTTTACGTGGTCAGGACTCGTCCGACCCCGTTTCCCGTATCAAGGATTACCAACTGGACGGCGAAGAGCTTGTTTTCTCAGGGTATAGTCTACTGCTCACTTCTCCTCATACAACCTATACTAACGCTGTATAACCATGCAGCGAGACAATAGATAACCATTACATCCATGCTTTACACATATACGTTGACACTAGCACAAGAGCCGTTCGACTGCACGCAACCGTTCTGCACGGCGAACTGAAACAGTAAGTCGACTTGATATAAACCACTACATCATGTCTACTTGCGTATGCTCATTTTGACTAGTGTTCCGGTATGGACCGCTTTTATACATCAGTACATGAAGCGGCCTCGTTCTTGGATGCGACATGTCGAGCAGGAGGTAATTTACCTCACCGAACTACAACCTACCGTCTTCATCAACTCGGATGAATATAAACCCTCCACTACAGCGCGAGGAGAGCATATTATAACTTTTACTTCGTCAGAAGGTACGATAACTACTCTGTTCACTCTTCTGTTCCGGCCCTAACAATGCTATAGATGCCGTCATGTTCATGGAATCCATCAATGAGATCTCGCACGTTCTTCGTAAAAAGTGAACAATCACAATCTGCACGAGCAAGCAAATGCCAATGATGACTCGATCTACGATTCTTACGTCTCTCTGCTCAATATTTTTTTTTTCTCGTCTTTGCTTATATCCATGTCTTAATTACACCATATACCAACTATTTTGGAACCCTACTGCATTCTTACGACTATACGAAAACACACTAAACTTTCTATATGTCTAGCCAGTAAAGCGTCTTTATACAAGCGTCTCAGCATGCCGTGTGTTGAGGAGTTAGCTGGCTTTGACTATTCATCTGTTGACCTATCTACTTGTCTGCACTTTAATGTCAGATGGTTTCTTCGTTCTGTTACTACTGCTGCTCGATTCTTTCCATTGCTCCTTTGTTTAGTGAACTATCCCCTGCGTCTTCCATCTTCTGGTTCAAAGGATCGGCTATTTGAATTATAATCAAACCTACAAATACCCTAGCTGCTATTATTCCGAAGATGGTTCTTAGTTTTAATCGTTCTTCTATTCTATTTCCTAGATAGAACGAACTTGATTATCTAGTCAAAAATGTATGAACTTGGTAAAATTATACCTGAATTGGCCGAGCACTCTAAACTTGTATAAATACAAAATGCATTGTGAAACAACTGCCATGCCATAGATAGCCTTCTATAAGTATCCGTATACGCGCGGGCGGCTGATTCAGACCCCTCGCTACCAAGTAAATACCTTATATTACCGCTTATAGACAAAAACAACCATAACAATAGCTAACGATGGCCCGAGATATCCTCCTGGTAATATATAACAGGTCATTGTTCAAGGCTCACTGGGCCGTCTACATCCCCAGCCTCGCAGACCCAGGCGTAGGCAAGAAGATCCATGTCCACGGCGATGTCTTAAACGGCTTCACGCTGCAATTTCTGCGAAACTATGCTTTGAAGTCGGAGACTCTGGCTCATCAGGAGGTACTTATTCATCAAGTTAAGGATGAGTTTGTGCTCGATGGCTCCGGAGGAGAAGAATACGCTGATATCACTCCCTCCGATCGGATTGAAGAAGTGGCCTTGTCCGTAGCAGCCCCAGGGCCAAGCATGAACTCTGCCAGCGCAAGTAGTGGTGTAAGTTCGTGCTTTTTTGTCTTTCCTTGGCAGGCTCAGGAGCTGACTGATAGCTGTGTCGCGTCGGTAGCCACCTACAAACAAGGCACAGCTTAAGGATTGTCAGAGCTGGGCTGTGGATGTCGTGGCGGCTCTGGTTGAACAGGGGATCATGTCTGAGGAGGCGAACGACGTTATTCGGAATGCTCCAAAGCATTGAGGATCGGTAGTTCGCCGGTATATCTATAACTCGATGCAGAATTTCATGTCTCATGATAGATGTCTATCTTTACAGTGTAATGCCCTCCATGCCGCCAATGTCTTTCCAAAACTGGTCAAAATCTACTCCCTCCTTTTCGAATAACTCCTTAACCTCTATCATAGCACTTCGTTGTCTTTCTGGCGTGAACCCTCCAGGCCGGGTGCTTTCGTACTGGATGATTTCGACCCAGCGGTAAAACAAGTCTTCCTTGCCCATGTCTGTAAGCTTCTCCTTAAACGCAATGATTCTATCTCGTGCGGCAGGCGGGAGAGTCTCTCCAGAAGCAGCAACGGCTTCATCCTCAACTCTCCATATCAGCCAGCCCTTGGATGGACCGCCATGTACAAGAACAGCAGTATGAAAGTCTTCCAGCTTCGCTTTCTTGGATTCAACCGCTTTATGGGCATTGATCATCGCATCGCAATCCATGTCCCAATCAGCATCGATAAGAAGGTATCCCGTCTTTTGCAACCGGAGTGGAAGAATGGCAGGTATAACTCGATCTTTCATCGTAGCCTCGTCATCTCTAATCCATGTCCCAGGCCGTAATGACTCGCTCCATTCTCGGCTTTGGCGAACAATGATTTCCTGGGCTTCAAACCTAACCGCTAGCCTCCAGCGGATAGGTCCAAGGAAGAAACGCACAGGCCACGGCAAGAAGATGGTTGCTAAAATATAATCCAGCAGAAAATTGAGGGTTCTCCAGGCCAATGTACTGGATAGAAAGCCCCAGCTAGCTGATGCTGTGTCAATCTTGGCCGGACCTGTCCCGCTCACCACAGCATTGAATATGTCCGGATACATGTGTAGGCCGGTATATATCCTGTATAGGATAATAGCGACTATAACAATGTTTATAGAAAGTGGAACGAGGAATATCTGTCGTTTGAAACCGGGAGAATGGGTATCGATATGAATGAGGTATATGCGATTGGTAGATAGAGGTTCAAGAAAGCCTTTTAGAGAAGACGGAGCTTGTGTGAACGCTGCGGGAACGTCAAAGGAATCCGACTTCGAGGATGACTTTGCTGGGGAGTCTGATGGTGCAAAGGCCTTCGCCTTGGGTGCTCGTTTGGAATTCTTCGCCATTGTGAGGTTATATCAAACTTGTCCCTGAAATGTCCCTGTCTGCTATTACTAGCTCCAATTTAGATATACTCCAGGGTCGAAAAGGGTACCACAAGCTCCCACAGACAAGGGACGTCCAATTCAAGCAACTAGAGAAGGTCCAAGCTATCGTCTGCGTGTCTCTCTGCAGTCTATCAAAAGTTGTGTCTTCGTGATGGACTTTTTGCTTCAGCATTTCGAATTTTTGGCAGCTCGAGACACGCTAGTCCGCTTTGGGCAGCTGGCGTGGGATCGCCTGCAAGTTTAAGCAAACACGCGATTTCACGTCGAGCAGAGCATCGAGAAGTAAATAAAACGCTGACTTGCCGGCACATTCATATTGGTTATTATATCTTTTCTTGACGGAGCTGATAGTGATAAGGTGGCTGGCTGCTACAATGCGGAGGGCATATTTCGAATAACTAGCCGCACGAACAAACGATGTCTACTTCTACCCAGAACCATCGCGTCGGTGGCTATGAGCCTCTACCGGCATGGTACAGGAACCGAAATAACAGGCCATTCGAATCTATTGGCTCGTCGCGAAGAGCTACAGAGGGCATACGGAACGGAAGAGAACCCAGAATCACGTTTAGTAAGACCAGAACCTTGACAGGCGCATTCGAAGCCACTGAATATCCCCGCAACACAGCAAGAGCTAATAGCGGACAAGAGGACGAAGAAGCACCAAGATATAACAGAGCAGGAAGGGAGAGAAATGGTCCTGCCGTCTCGCCCAAGTTTAAACAGTCGAGTTTATCCTCCCGAGAACTGCTGGAGACGTATAGAACTATGGACGACGCGGATAACCTTGCAGACCTGGAGGTGCAGGAAGATCAAGTGCGAAGGGATCAAGGCTCACCGAGTCCAGCGGCGAGGAACCGTCGAATATTTGACCAGAAGGCTGAAAACATCTACGATATCGACCTCGAATTCCTAGACGATGTGAGTGACGAGGATCTTAGAATTAAGCTGGCACAGCACGCGTTAGACGAGCGGCGGTTAAAGCGTGCTACCAAGAGTACCAACGGACCGATATTTAGTAGGGCAAAGGATACGGATCTCAAAACTGCCTTGTCTATGGAGAATCTTCAGCGCCATGAGGCGGAAAAGAAGGGGGAGGATATAGAGCCGGAGCCGGAGCCGGGCAGCCAAATCGACCCAGCTGTGAATATTCCTAAGACATGGGGGTCTAGGGGAAGACGATCAAGAGAATGGCTAGACGGAGTGGTTACGACTACGAACGGAGTCGATAACAAGCAGAGTGAGGATGACTTACGGCTGCCTGTTGAGGAGTGGGGGAACGACTTCGACTTTACTGCCAGGTCACTACAGGTGTCTGATAGTCCGCCAGTAAAGACCTCCCAAGACAAGCAGGATAATAGTTTCAGGGCACAGTTCTCCATGTCTGCCGCCCAAGACAGTCAGCTGGAAAAATCTCAAGATCCTGACATGGCCAGGCTTGACCTCGGACCAGACACCGGCTCGTCTGCACACTCTTGCGGCACGGTTGAGAAGCCTAGATTTGCAAGTGGCAGGGGAAGTTCCAGCCAGCTACTTCGAAAGCTGACAAGGAGGAGTTCTAGTCCTGTCAAGACACCGGAACAACAGAGGATTGTGACGAAGACACCTCTGACGGCCAAAACTCCTGTTGTTACTGGGGCTTGGATTGACACTCCAGTCACAGAACGCTCAAAGACGCCTCATATAGAGAATATTAAAAAGGAGGAGCGAGTGCCAGAGGCACAGCCAAAACCAGTAGAGGATATTCCGAAAGCCAATAAAGCTAGCGACTCCAGACAGAGTGACCTACAGTCTGGAAAACGGAAATCTACTTCTCGGCCTATGCCGTTGAAGAAACCGAAACTTCCCAAAAGTGCCTTGGAATCGATTCTCGAAAAGGAAAAATCTGGAGACTATAGCCTTATTCTTGGAGAAAATACGCTCGACTCTCTCAAGGATATCCTTGAGGATAAACCGTTTAGTGAGAAGTCCGGAGATGAGCAGGTCAAGTCAGAGCCATCACTAAGCTCTTTTCACGTTGACACAGATGAAGAAACCCTTGACCGAGTCAATTCGAAGCTAAAATCGCTCCTTCATAACATAAATGAAGCTAGAGCTGGTTTGTCCAGCCTTGAACACCAGGCGGAAGAAACAATCGCCCTTCCTGGCTCGGGAGGTTTCAAGAGTAAAAACTCGAGAATAAGACACCATAATCATTCTACTGCCCCATGCGAAGCGTGCGGCCTGTATGGCGATGGCCGCCTATATTTTGCCCTTCCCAGCCGCTGTTTCTGGAAGCGGATTGGCTTTGTCTTCTTGATATTTTTCACTTGGTGGATTGCCGAACTAATGATGTGCGATTACTACTGCCACCCCTTATATGCATCTAAATGTGAGCGTAATTGTCTGAATCCCAATGCGCCACGATACCCATTTGTTATTCCTACCATGTTATGGCGTTGGTCTCATCTATCTGTTGTCCTGTCACCATTATGGACCATATTTGTTGCATTGTTCCGCCTTACCGCGCAACTCTTTGGTTTTTGGGATGGATTTGTTGAAAGCTCGAATTCGGTATATCGGCCACGAAGCTATGAGCATTACCAGCCTCCTATATCTGTTGCTTACCAGCCAAGTGCTGCAGTGTATGACCAGAGTGACAGTATGCAGGGTGATGAGTATCTATAACTTGGCGTTTGTCATGCATAATGGTCTATTGTTCCTTTTTTGTTTTGTACATTTATCATTCCAGGCAAGATATTCTAGATTGCCTGGGTTTTGGAATCATAGAGTACGGGATTATATATATGAAATGATTACTTGGCCCTAGTGGTATAGTAATCTGATTATTAAGGCTATCATGTACTATGTAATTGTTTAGATATATGGTTCATTATTCGTTTGTAGGGTTTGTTGTATTTCTGCTGGATCGGTTCGGTATAGTGTATCGAAACGACAAATAGCCGGGTAGTGGAATAGCCAACATATATAGAATCGTAGGAACTCAAACGTAGGAACCAGTGCCTGCACAGTTAGAATGAATTCAAGAAGATACTTAGGAATCCAGTTCCTGTTCCTTCCACACCTTCTGCAGCAAATGCTCTCCATCAATACGCCAATCTCTGCCAGCCTTGATCAGCTTTTCGACTTCATCGTCCGTTAAGGTACCAATATCATCGAGGCTGCGAATATCTGTCTTTGTCAAGCTGTGGTTAAAGAATTGGGCTTCTCCGCAACCTTTCACACGGTCATGTACTGTATCGACGCAGAACTTGGCCCAGCCCTTGAGACAGCGCTGAGATTGAGGGACGTTGGGAGCAAGCAAGGCGAAACAATGTGGCATTCCTTCGTACCGCTCGAGCACAACATTAACACCGTCTCGATGGGCTTTTCTGGCCATATACACACCATCATCATGCAAGAGCTCCTCGCCCACTGCAATGTACATTGGCGGGCCGCCCTTCCAGATACCCTTTGGACTAGCGGCCGGTGAGGTGAAGGGATGAGCCATCATGTTCGCATTTGCGTACAAGTCCACTCGTGGCGGCACCGTAGGCCACAGATGGTCTGGCGGGAAAGGCAGAGGAGTAAATATGGTGCCTGGCCTTTGTGGTGGCGGAGGAACGTAGTCATACTTTGCGTTCTCAAAGGTAGATGGCAGGGAGCGGGTGATATCGCACCAAGGACTGGTCGTAGCAATGCCAGCGGGAAGATCCAGTGGTACATCTTTTCCATGGAAACGAATTGTCTTGGACGGGATAATCTCTCGTAGTGTCAGGAGGGTCTGGAGCAGTCCTAGGCAGAGGCCACCGCCAGCAGAGTCTCCGGCGAATACTATCTTCTTAGCCGGTACGGCTTCGTAAAGGGCACCTTCAGCAGGCGAGAGGAGCGATAGATATGCCACCAGCGCATCCAGGAGGCCAGCCGGAAATGGATGCTGCGGGCATAGTCTGTATCGTATCGAAAAGCAACGAGAGCGGCTGAGCCGTGCCAGGGCTGTCGTCGTAGAGCGATGAGTGCAAGGGTCCATCATACTGACCTGGTAGTTAGCATCTGTCACTTATACATCCGGGGTGTTCAATGGGCGTTGTTGGGTTTGGGCTTACTGGTATGCGCCGCCGTGGGCGTAGAAGATGGTCATGTCATCGTCCACGTCCTCCATCAGGCGCTCATATTTGTCTGCGTCCGAGATATCAGGAATCGGGGTATCCTCGCTGGCGCCCTTCCTGTATCCCGTCCACTCGGCCTCAACAGCGCGCACATCAGGCACATCAAAGGTCTCTCCTCCCTCGCTGCGGTGTCTGATTGCCTTCACCAACGCCTCGAGCACATCGTCCTCCGCCGGCTTAGGCACCGTTACATTCGAAATCCACATGTAGCCCTTGGTCGTTGAATCTGTCAGCCTGACTTCGGCCATCTTCGAGACGGAGTCCTCCAGGGTGAGAAACGAGCGCACGAAGGTGACCAGCAGCTCCATCTGCACGCTCACTCTGTCCTGCACCGGCGAGAGCTGCAGCAGCCGCCGGATCGCAGTGACCAGCACAAGCGGGATGCGTACCAGGTACTGCTGGATCAGGGTCAGATTCAGGCTCGCCATGGCGCCGGTCGTTCGTATCTGTTTACTGTCGTGTGCACGATAGCTGGATATAGTGCATGGAGGATTAAGCGATGCGAGAGAACGAAGAAGAAAAGGGTCTTTAAGGGGGGAATCCCTCAGCTATAAAAGGACGGGTTATGGCCCTGGGAAGCGGTGTTTTATATCTTCACAAGCGGATTTTTTGCTCCCTCCTCCTATTGATATGAGAACAGACAGAGCGTCGCCTCATTTAGCTCAAGCCACAAACGAGTCTCCTCCTCGTCTTCTTGTCTTCCCTTGAAAAATTGAGGAATAACGTGGAAGCCTTTTTTTGCTTGAAGACCGTCCGCTGTATGATGTAATTCGACGGCATTGGTTGAAGGTGTCAGAAAAGCCGCCACAGGAAGAAGCAATATAGCAAACAAGCTGGAACCCTGACATATTCACATGCAATCTGCGCTTTTGAGGACGAGACAAGTAAGAGTGAGTAGAGAACGAAAATGCATTGAAACAGAACCGCTAAAACGCCGGGATATGTAGCTATGGAGAATTTCTAGACCAAAATATGATGCAAAAAGGGGTTGTGACTTCAACGATCCCCATGGTACGGCTCGATATTATGGCTTGAGCCTCCCAGGTGTCTTCGATACGTCTCTTCCTCCTCCTCTTTCAACCCGTAGCCAGACGGATCTCGTCTCTTTAGGAAATGCTGCACCCTTTCGTCCACAGACTCCAGTTCAGTGACAGTCTGGTGCCTTCGTCCCTCCAGAAAGCGGCTACACTCCCGGTTAACCTGCTTAACCCGTTCGTCAACGAAGCTGGAATATTTTCCTATACTCACAGCCTGGGCCACCCCTCCGAATATGGCCAACAGGACAAAGAGCGAGGCAAACGTCTCGTGCGAAGCGCCCGTGGACTGCTGCTGCTTCTGGTACTTCCCGTTGCCCTGACCATGGTATCGCTCCCAGTCCTCCCAGCTTGCGTTCCTGAAGATGGTAGGATCTACCTGTCTCCGTCTGGAATAATATGCGTCCATAGCACTCTTTGCTGCCGGCCCCTGGGTACCAAATAGCTCTTCCCTCTGGAACCAACCCCGGCCAAACTTGTCATACTCGCTTCTCTTCGTAGGGTTCGACAGCAATTCATGAGCAGCTACCAGCAGCCGGTAGCGCTGTAGTCTGACTGACTCCGGGAGATCTTTGCAGAGGGGGTGGCCGTTACAGCCTCCGTCCGGATGGTAGATCTTGACGAGTTGGTAGAACCGCTTTTTCGAGTAGGGTGCATTCCGTTCCAGCCGGAGCAAGTCGTAAGGGGTAAAGGAAGGGGATATTGGCCATGACAGGTCGTCTTCGGGCTCTTTAACGCCATCAGAGGCTGGCCCGTGTACATGAGCAAAACGCCTCGACTGACGCCTGTACGTCGGCTGTTCGGGGCGGACAAGCGGGGAGTGCGGGCTGAGAGTCTGGAGGCCGCCGCATGAGCAGAGGAGCGTTGATTTCCTCAACATCGGCACGATTTGGCAAGCATTTCAATCTCTCGTAGGCTTCTTAGACAGGTGAGTATGCACATGGGGACATGGGAGATCAGGTTGTACTAAACGGTTATCGACGTTGATTTAGATAAATGTACGGAGCAGCTTCTGGCAGCTTTTCTCGCCTTAACTTGAAGATCGCATGAGGAGAACTGCTTAGTCATCTAGCCTGGCGGCTATTCGGCAAATCTTGCTAGTACCTAGCTAATCAAATTAAATTATGCTCATTCGTCAGCCAATAGGAGATACCTGAAGTTATTAGCCACTAATTCAAAATAAACTAATTGAGAATAATTACTATTTAATCAATTGACATTGCTCTTAGCCAAAGCATAGCCGCATCTGTAGAGGATGGTCATCCTGCGATGAGTGCTGTTTGTCCACTTATTGACCCCACCAGACGTTCTCAAACCCCTTCACAGCTTGTTCTACCCATACTTCTTCCAGCAGTGGTATGGTGTTGCTGAACATATGGTACCTGATTCTCCTATCCCAGATACAGCAGAACTCCACGATTTTGCTGCGTAATGATTGATCTCTTAGTTCGCATCCTGCAAAGAAGAGCGGTAACAAGGCCCGTCTGGACACCATGCTTATGTCACGGCACGCAAAGACATGATCTGTAATGGCTCTTGCACGGTACAAAATGGGCAGTGGGACACTGCTTCCAAGCTTCCATTGAAACACCCTATATGTATAAAGGAGAAGGCCATTTCTCTATGCTTCTGAACAGCGCATCCTATCTTGATCTTGTTGCATACACTTTTCGTCTTGGATGGCTGTTGCAGGGGAGGTGTGATCCCAGGACTCAAGTAACTGCTCAATTTCAAGGATTATTGTATCAAATGTGGCGCACTGCATCGAAGACGACTTTCGCTTTTCTGCACACAATCGTGCCGACTGCATAATTATATGTACGAGACTTAGTGGGTATCCGCACAGTCCGAAGTAGTCCCACTCTTGACCATCATGCTTTGACAGCACGGCCTTGGAGTATGCATAAGGAAACACGCAGTCTTCCCTTGAAACTAAACAAGTTATGGCGTCCCACCTATGGAGGATCAAGGTTAGTTAGAAGTCATAGCTAACCAGTGAGGTGAACTTCATAACCACCACGTGAGAATTGCTACCTGAGCTGTTGCCCTCGTAGATGCGGCCCATATTCCAATACCATCACAGGCTTCAAGAAGACCATATACACCCAGAAGATGTGTGTTCCAGTTTCCAAATGCAGACTGGGTTTCCTAATATATCAACTGTCAATCAGCCCAATTCCTGAAGGTTAGCAGGTATAACTAACATCAAGCGAGAACAGGATAATGACTGCATCAAGCATAGAATATACGTCTTCCGTGTTATTGTACGAGCCTAACTTCTCACGGATCAGCTGAAACGCGGCATGGCGATGATCCTGGGTTGATGCACTATGGACGTAATGGCCCGCTAACGCCATCACTGCGTGGACTAGGAAGGTTGGTTCCGGCTCCAAATCCTTCCGGTATCGAAACGGGTTTATCCGTAGATCGGATGTCAATGGGATTTTGCAGAACTCCCTATTGTCTATCAATTTGTTAGTAGGTTAAGGCGAGGTAATTGAGTCTGTAGTAAACATACATCGCTCAAGGATTAGATCAAATCGCTGACGAAAGTTATTATACAGTACACTAGGTGGTATGGTCGTACAGGAAGGAATGAAGGGATCCCCTGTCTAGTAGGAGCGGGCTTAACCTTCTATCGAAAGTACCTGTACTCTTCTTACATGGCTGTAGTTGTCTATCGGCTGTTGATTCGGTTAAAAGTAAAACTGTATAAGGATTCTTGCCGTTGTTCTGATGCTGGTGAGGTTCAGCCGGTCTATCAATCAAATCCAAATTGTGAGAAGCCTCCTCACCCTGAATCACGGGTGATTCGTTGCCGTATGTTTCGAATGGCGTCTCGGCATAAGGTGCTATCTCTTCAATGCTCTCTTTATCTTGGGACTGGGCTCTATGTTAGCCTAAAATGATTGGACACTTCTTCTTTACGCTTGTTGCGAGGAGGGCTGACTACCACCGCGAGAGACTAGCCTTACCTGACCGTTAGTGATATGCTCGACGGGCACTCCTGAAAGCGTGAAATTGGTGGTTAATGGGGTGTCTGCTGTCTCACTCTCTATTATAGAATGCTCAAAGATAAATTCAAATTGCTGTGGCTTCTCTGTGTCCCTTAACAGTCCACGTTCGACCTTGCGTGCCCTTCGCCTCCTGACTGGCTTCCTAAACAGAGAAAATGCAGGCTGCCAAGATAACCGCATTCTAATTATTTGGTATCTCGCGATTGGTCATAAAGTTCGATTATATATGGAGTACTGTATTTAATTCAAGTATAAGGATATGGAAGTTGAGGTGGATGGAAGGGAGTGCTGCTGCTGGAACGTCGGGTTGTGTCTGAGCGCGAGGTGGGTCTGGACTGTGGAGATCGCCGCAACGATAGACCCACAAAAGACTGTGGATCTACCCGCGCCCTTCCTAATTAGACTTCTTACCTCTTTGGGACGATTGCTTGGTCTAGACAGTTGCCTCTTTCAGCCGCTGTTGCTCGCTATCCTTAGACTGCAGAGCCTGCAAATGCTCCTATAAGTCTTCGGTATGAGATTTACAGGCACTCCCAAATGGAGAGCAGAAATTCTTAAATAGTTGAGCAGCCCAACAATGCTCTATAAACATCTTAAGATGACTACACAAAATTTTCCTGTGCTCTGGCAAGCAATCTGGTAACTAGAGCTCATGTACATCATTATATGGATTCTGGCACAGTGCATTGCTTCTATCGAGGGATTAGAGAGAGAATACATTCTTCGGTGTACAACTCATCATGGGAACTATGGTAGCAGAGGAGCTTAGGGCACCCCAGAACTCAATAGCAAACTCTCCAAAAGGTTTGTCTACAATTGCTGGAGTTCCGGAGTCGATCTCGGCTAGTCGTATGATGCAGGACTATATCATGATTCAGCTACAGCTATTGTGACTTGGGAGACCGGAAGACCCCAATGATCCATTCAATTGGCCTCTACGGAAGAAATGGTGGGCAACCAGACTTAGCTTCTTGCAAGATTTTTCTGCTCTACTAATGGAACTATTATTGCGGTTGCTCACAATGCTATAAATAAAGAATTTCATATATCTGATGTGAATTTTCCTCATTCCTACCGGCCGACCACGTCCTGGGGAGTAGGGGCCGCTCTGTCACCCCTTAACTTATTCTCTATAATGGAAGACTTTGGAGTTCGACCCGTGCTTCTCACCACTTACTTCTTCTTTATCTACTTTCTGATTCCAATCGACTTAGCCCCAAACTTACGACGCTTATAGTCATGAGATTCTTTAGCGGCGGTTGCGTTCCGATTATGAGCAATGCCGTTGCTAGTATCGTATCAAATGTTTTTCACGGAGATCGAGCCAGAAGTATACCCATCTGCCTTTATGTTACTACATACCTGGTTGCGACAAGCATTGACCCAGTGATTGGAGCGTCTATACTTCAATCCCTTTCCTGGCGATGTATTGGTCACATTGAATTGATTTTCACAGCGGCATTTTTTCCCCTCTTCATCATCGGTCTGCCCGAGACCCGCGGCTCAGCTATCTTGCGAGTGAGAGCCAAGCGGATAATAAGTAAGAGTGAAGAGGTATATACAGCGAATAAGCTCCATCATGATGCAAAATTGTACCAGGCCATCCTCCAAAGCATGCAACGGCCCCTGTACATGTTGTTTACGGAGCCTGTGGTATTTATTGTTTGGGCTGCCTTTAGCCTTGGAACGGTCTATCTATTCACCCAGTCTGTCGAGCTAGTGTATGGACAACTCTATGGTTGGGATGCTATACTAGCAGGTTATGTCCAGATTGCCATTGTGTTTGGTGAAATTCTTGGTTGTGGACTTTGTATGTCCACTAAAGGCTGGTACTACGCATCTGCTGACCATAATACCGAAGTTCCCGGGACATCTATCCCTGAGGCGAGATTATATACATCAATAATTGGGGGTTTCTTTGGTGTTACCGGCTGAATGTTTGTATATGGATGGACCTCATACCCTACCGTCCATTGGATGGCACCTGTTATCGGCTTGACCATGGTGGGGTTTGGAACAACTTCTGTTGTGATAAGCACCGCAAACTATCTTATTGATGTATATAGCAAGTACGCTGCGAGCGCTCTTGGTGCTGTGGGCTTGGTTGAGAACATTGCTATCGCATTTTCCCTCTTGCCTCGACAGCGATGTACACAGGTATTGGATTTCAGTGGACCAGCTCACTTCTCGCATTTGTGTCTTTTGCTCTTGTTATAACTCCATTTGTGGTCTTCAAATGGGGCAAAAAAATAAGATGTCGAAGCCCATTTATGAAGGAGGCAATTATTGATCGACAGAGAGACAATGTCGATGTAGCTAGCGTATAGAAAGTACGCCATCAATAACTTTGGAATATTCAACATACTTAGTTGATATCATGAAACAAGCAACTCCCGCCTACGGGCTCCAAGCATTTTTATGGAGCTGTTCGAGGAGCACATTCAATGTAGTCATCGGAGGAAGGTCCTGGACGGAGATGTCCTGGAACTCTGATAGTGGTCCTCTGGTCTAATCGAGCTTCTTTTATTTTCTTTTCTTCTTTTGTCTGCCTATTAACACTGGAATCTCAATCGAATGATACTGGTGTTGCCTGTGAACAAATCCTAGCTAATTAGTTAACTAGCTAGGTAACTGGATTAAAGTGACGTATATATTAGTCGAATAGACTTGGAAAAATATCTGACCAATGAAAAGTAGCCAAAAGCTAACTAACAAGTTAACTTGCACGAGCTAAATTAACAACAACTCAAATGGAACTGGCGTCTAATGCATTTGCGGCTTGGAAAAGCAAGGTTCACCAGCTTCTCGCAGGCTCTTCTTCTCGAGAAGAAGGACTTTACATACACCCTCTAGAATGCCTAGGTACGAGGAAAGCCATCAACCTCATCGACACAGATCTCGGTCCCCATCTTCACATTCCCGTGAGGGTCGAGGACGCCCCAAAGCCCGCAGCTCCAAGTCACAGAGACACCGGTCTTCAAGCCCCGACGGTAGGAAACGCTCCCAAAGCCCCCGAGGACGGAAATCACGTCGTTATAGGAGCCGGTCAGTGGACTCGAGTGACGCATCCCATAGCCGTACGAACCATCCCCGAGAATCGCGTCGAAGAAGCCGTGATCGCAGACGAAATGACAGGGATGGGCATCGGTCACACAGACGCCGTGAGGGCAGGGAACACTCAGCTTCTCCGTCTAGGGAATCATATAGGCGCAATCCTTCACCTCACCTAGGCAGGAGATCGGATAAACCGCTCCCATCCCAGCAGGACGCATTTTCAAAGACGCCCCGAGACGGATCTGGCCAGGCAACTCCGGTAGGCGAGAAGGAGAAAGAGAAAGCCAATTACGGGAATACGGGGCGTCTAGCAGCTGATACCAACACTGTTAGATCCAGTGATGGGACCACATCCGTTGTTTTAAAATACAACGAGCCTCCAGAGGCCAGAAAACCTCCGGCCAAAGACGCTTGGCGACTATATATCTTCAAGGACGATAATCTACTGGAAACTATCGAGTTGGGAGATCGAAGCTGCTGGCTGATTGGAAAAGAAAAGCTAGTTGCAGACTTGCCTATCGATCACCCAAGCTGCTCCAAACAGCATGCCGCTATTCAATTCAGATACGTTGAAAAACGGAATGGCTTTGGGGATCGAGATGGCAGGGTCCGGCCGTATCTCATTGACCTGGAAAGCGCAAATGGGACAACGGTTAATGGAGATCCAGCTCCAGCTAGAAGATACATGGAACTTATGGATAAAGACGTTTTAAAATTCGGACTCAGTACAAGGGAATATGTACTCCTCCTCCCTCCTAGCTGATGGCCTAAATTACATGTTCTTTCCACCCTCGTCAAGAAACACAAGGAATAGACAATATCGGCACATATAGATGACATAACGTGTTCCCAATTTGCAGCTATGATATGCGAGAAATCATCAACTTTTCTCCCTGACAACCACTATGCCTTGCCGGAGAATTCTTCCTCCTTCTCAGCTGCTTTCTGAGCGGCTTCATCCGCTATGTTGGATGCCTTCCTGCTCGTCTTTTTGGCAGCATCTTGTGCTCCGTGCTGGGCATCCTTCGCTGTGGATCCTATGGTATGCTTTATCTTGTTCGTTGCGGCCTCTGCAAAACGGAATTTATTAGCCTGCGTCTTAATACACCTGGGTGTGAGCAATGTTTTCCAGACGAACCTCCTTTCTCGATTCCCTTGACGGCAGCATCTGAAACGAGCCTGTCGGCTGCCTTCAGAGTATCTTTTGTTGCCTCAATAGGACCTTTCTGATGTTGTGGTGATGTCGAGAAGAAAGCGCGGTTCAACTGTGTCCTTCTATTGAAGACTGTGGAAGGCTTGATAAAGCGCGAATTGGCAACAGCATCTCTAATGACGAAAGACATATTGTATAGAATTAAGTGCCTATTGGGGGGGGGATGGACGTTAGCCGCCATGGTCCATTCCAGACCTGAATGTAGGCCCGAATTGTTAAACTTACCTAAATGTTCAAGTACTGATGAATATATGAATACGGTTGAAAGATAGAATCTATTTCGTAGGAGTCGGACCTCTTCTCGTTCCTTATATACTTCGTAGTCTACATGACTCCTCTTCGCCATCTTCTTTTGAGTTGGGTTGCCTTGCTTTCAGCTCCCTGTTTCTAACGTCATATCTCCATCATTCATACCGGATTTCCTTGGCCGGGACTACGTAGAACCGCCCCGATGGGCTAACCACGATCCCGACATGAATTAAACTGGAGTAGTTTAAGTAGTTCGTAATTACAACTAACAACTCCAGGTCCCTTACTGGTTTCCATGAAACAATGGTCTCGATAGAGCCATGGCGGCTACGAGGGTTGTCCAGGCGGCTAAGTATTTAATTACCTAATCACTGCCGGCTAGGCGCGTCGACAGGATAAACATTTTAGCGGTTAATTGTGCACGGACCACTAGCTAACCTCCCGAGTTCCTCAGAACAGACGCAAAAAAGGCATTCACAAGCTTTCCCAAAGCCATTAAAAAGATATCAGAGACACCTAAAGCGATATCCATGGAATGCAGAATTAAAGGCAGAATCCCTGACGAAAGGAATGCGTCTCATACGTGATGTTTATGCAAAATCCCTGTCTCGGAGACCCATTTTCTCACCCAATGAAAACTGTTAACTATCAGAACGACAGAGCAAAGACTTAGCAGGGGGAAGATATATTTTCGACACCGTTGCTCAACTTCCGGTCGCAGAAGGTCGCAGCCTAAGCGCTTACCCCACAACGACCCCTCAGACTGAAATCGTACCGTCCTGTGTTTCTACGTGTTTTGGACCGCAAAACACGTACATTCACTGTGCCCTATGCCTAAGCCAGTCTCCGGAGGACTCTCACACCGCAAAAGACAAGGACCTGAGGATTGTGTTGGTCGACGCCCATCAAAACGGTCGAAGATCGACCGGCGTCCGCCTACATTTTGGGATAATCTATCGAGAATTTGGTTGACGAGAGACGCACTTGAGGAGCTAGACCAACGAAACAGCGCTTCCATCAGTTCAGAGCCACCTCGATCCAAACAGCGACCAGTCACACGTCTCCAAGAGAAAGAGAGGCGACTTCATCAGAAACTTCCTTCCTGCACTATCTACTCCGGTCCTGCGACGTTAAACGACATCAGGCGATATTCCAGGGGCGGTGGCCCTGATCTATCTGACCTTAGAAATGTATGTTATGTTACCTACGTTACTGTGAGCTATTACTTCGTATGCTGATGTGTTCCATAGTTTCCGAACCCTGAACGACTTTTTCACCCAATGAGTACTAATAATCTGGATCGCCGGAAGAGACGTGCAGAATCCCCTTCAGGTTCCGCCGCAGAACAAAGCAGTGCCAATAAGACCGCAAAGTCTTCCAGCACCTCAGCCTACAACCGCAATTTCGAACAAAATCTGATTGATAATGGCATATACCTACCTGGATATAAGTATCCTAATGGTCACAGGCCACCCAAGCCTAATAACTGGGTAGAACTTAATGAACGTTTGGCACAACGTCGGCCTTCCCTCTCATCATCACAGTTCTCCGAGGATGACTTTGAGGAGTTTGTTGATAAAGATTTGAATATTCGGAAGGAGAAACCTATTGGTCGTTTTGCTCTCTCGATTATTGAAGGAAAAGTTGATGATATGATGTCTATGGGCGAGGACTATCCATTCTCGAACCTGGCGCCCCTAACAGATGGTACTCTAGTGAACGCAAGGCCAGACCATTTCTTTGGTTCCCGGCCTGAGCAGCTCGAGTCTCAGATTCGCAAGGATCTTAGTTCTTATATTGTTCCATCATCACAGGATTCTCTCCCTATAATCCCGAACTTCTTCCTTGAGACCAAGGGTCCTGACGGGTCCCTTATGGTTGCTACGAGGCAAGCTTGTTACCATGGGGCATTGGGTGCTCGAGGTATACATAAGCTTCAGAATTTTAAGCAAGACGAGGAATCGTACGACAGGAATGCTTATACGATAACCTCAACGTATCACGGCGGGAATCTGAAGATTTATACGAGTCACCTCGTTCCTCGAGCGAGCGGGCGCCCCGAGTATATAATGACCATGGTCAATAACTGGGGGATGACTGGAAATATCGAAACATTCCGACAAGGTGCATCGGCGTATAGAAATGCTTTGGATTGGGCAAAAGAACAGCGAGAAAAGATCATAGAGGCTGCCAATGAGAGACTTGCCAGAGTTGAATCAGAGGCTCTCACATCTGAACATGTTTCTGAACCAACAGCTACCCTGGATGGCTCTCAAACATCAGCAACATCTGATGAAACCGAGATTCAAGATACCGCATGGAGCTTTGCACAGCCTAATGATGCTGGTGGTCCTGCAGCTTCTAGTAAGTCTGATAGCAGACAAGCAGACCGCCCGGGCGGCGGCCCGCTTGCGAACTAGGGCATTTGAATGTATATATCTCTATATTTCTCTACTCCTAACCTCTGGGTATGTACTCCAGAAATCTATGGCTACGCGAGATGAATGATGAATGTGATGAATCTTCTGCTATATCAATCCTCTCGTCTATGTATCTAGTACATACGACCATAGGAAGTGGAAAACAGAGCTTCCCGTCCGCTCAGCTGTACTTAAGCCACTTGCCGGTCGGTTAGTAGTTGGGTGGGTGACCACCAGCGAATCCCGACTGTCGTATGTTTTTTTTTTGATATTTTTCCTCTTTCTAGGAGTGAGTGACGTTGATAACCGAATTATTGTTGAAATACTTCCTAGTTATGGTCGTTATAAACATGAAGGGTTATTATATTAGGGGGCATTAACAGAACAGAAGCAAAAAGGCCTTAGCCTACCGCCACTATCAACACACACACACTTCGAGTCTCAATGCAGCTCGTCATATCCATCCATCCTGGAGTCGGCCCAGGATCCATTCAATTCCATATCCACGAAAGAAATATAAAAAAGAAAGATCTCAATATTAGAAAACCCGTCGCTTGACTCCGAAACCACGGCTTATTTATCCGTGGGGTAAAAATGGTGATGCGCCAAACAAATGCAGATATTTGACTTGAACATGTAGCAAAGGATGATGACCGTACAATAATGCATGGCAAAAAAAGGTAAGGGGTGACGTGAAAAAAACACAAGAGCAAATCAACCGGCTATAAATAAAACGGTAGCGATGGCCCGTAACTCCTTCTCCGATGTTGTAGTTTGGTGTCTAAAACATTGTTGTAAGCTGTTTGTTCCGATGTATTAGGGAACTCTGTGTATTTATGAAAGCCAGGATAAAACATGAGAGGCGTAAGCCAAAGGATAAAAAAAAAATTAGCTGTCGAAAACCCGATATTGTAGCTTGGTGTGTGGTTCGGAATGTATCATGGTAAGTTTTCTAGTAGTCTTGTATTTGGTCTTGCTCTCCGAATGGTGTTTATGGAGAGCGATGGTGGATGCCTAGGCCGGTCCAGTCTGGTATCTGGGGGGTACTCCCGCTTCTTATCCGGGTTCTTGCTCCTCCCTGACGAAACTGTTCCGCCGCTCGTTGTTGCGGCGGAGTAGCGAAGCCCTGCCGCATCATGTCAGCGAGCTGCTGCGGATCGCTAGCCGTTGGCATGAAGTTGTGGTCAGGATAAGGTGCGGCCCGTGGTTGTGCTTGCACTTGTGCTTGCGCCTGTACCTGTGCCTGGCGTATCAGTTGTTCTTGTCTGGGCGCTCTTTCGGCTCGCTGCCTGGCTGCCTCGACGTTGACGGGTTCAAGTTCGCCGAAGCGGATGTGAGGTGGTGTATATTGAACGGGATTGAATTCGACGACACTGTTAATGCCGTCGCCTGTGTCAACCATAAAGCCTGGCCCCGTTGTTACTTTCGATAATGGTAGTAACTGGCCTTCGTCTAATGTTGGCGTTGTGGTGGCTGAATCGATTGCACATTCACTAGCTGGGTATCTAATTCGGGTGTCTATTCTGGGAATGGCTGCTGCCCTGTTAGAATGGGAAAAGGAGGCTGCGCGAGGCGCCGATGCAGACGGTGGGCTAGGTGTGAATCTGCCAGGCTCTGCTTGAAGTGATTGGTGTGATAGTCCGGAGTGTTCCCGAGACATCGGCTGAGATGAATAGCCATGGGGGAGACTGTTTTTGGAACCGACGGCTCGCAGTGGTGGTGGTGTAAATGCTGAGGGTCGTCGTGGTGGCATTTGAGTGATGTCGATGTTCGGCTCATATGGTATCGGCAAGGGATTTGGTCCCATATAAGGAGGGCCAACATTGGAGTCGCTGAAGTGCTGCTGGTTTGATATTAGAGGCCGTTGAGAATCCTGTTCAATTCCGAAGGGAGAGTTCGGGGTCGTTGGCGAGCCTCGTTCAGATGCAGAGATACGACGAGGGTATGGCAGGCCAGGGTCACTGTGAGTTGACAGGGAAAGGTTCATTTCGGCACCTCCCATCAGAGAAGCTGATAGGCGTTTTATCTCCTCAACGTCTGGTAACGGAGGACTATCCGTGTGCATTGGACGCTGCGTTAGATTTGAACGCTGCGGTCGTGATGGCGGCTTCATTCCGGCATGAGTGGCCCCCCCAACGATAGCAGCATAGGATGGACCGTGGTTGCTCTTGTTGCTGGATCCAGCCTTCGCTGGCACTGGTCCAGTGCTTGTACCGCTGTTCTTTGAGGATGAAGCTGTGCTATGTTGCTGTGCCAATGGGGCCACCGGTTGACCCGCAGATCCAGTATCAGAAGGCTTCCTTTGGCTGGGACTGCCCTGGACCAAGATGGAACTGTTCCGTCGAGAGCCATCTGACACAGAGACGGTAGGAGTTGCTGGTCTAAACTCCCCAAGATTCTTCCGCTGTTCTTTCAACCGTCTCAGGGGTTCCTTGAAAGCCGACAGGAAACTGCCTCGCTTCTTCCCAGGAGTGCTGGGCCGCTCTTCCTGGGAAACTTTCGGCGTTGGAACTTCAGTACTGTTGGACAGAGATGGGGACATGTCGGGGGCAGCAGACTCGTTCTCATTACCGCCATTTTGAGCCATATTCTCAGTACCGATATTGCTGTTGCCATGGAGAACCGAGAGAGGTTGAACGCTACCCTGCGGCGAGACTATCTCCTGTGGAGAGTCAGTGCATTCGGCTCCCACATCCCGTTCCCAGGTTGACCTGGTCGATGTGCTGGCTATGGAGTCAGAGAAGGACGACATGCTGTTTGTATGATCGAAGATTGATTTCTGATGGCGGAACCATTCCTGGGATGAGCCGGGTGATCGGTGTCTGATTTCCTCTTCGATGTCAAGCAGCATCTTTTTCAAGCATTCGTGGTGAAGTTCCAGATTGACCTCTGATTTGTCTAGCCTAGCCCGATAATGACGCATGAGACGCTTTGCATGAGTCTGATACTCGCGGTAGTCCCTGACAAGGCCTGCATTTTTAATTGCTCTGATCTGAGTTGTAGCGTTCTTGTAAGAGAGACAGAACAGGCTTGTAGCAATGCCCAACCAGTACCAGAAATGCTTTGCACCTTCAACAATAAGCTCATCACGGCAGAAGCCCTGGACGACTGAATGAATCTTAAGCACATCGATTTCTGTTCGAGGTCGGCCTATTATCGCATCTTGGTTGGAAGCGCTTTGCAAATTTGTTGTAGAACGGCGCTCAATACCTCTTCTGTCGACTTCACTAGTAGGTGTAGCCGAGACTTCGCTGTAAGCGTCAAAGGAGCGCTCAATCAGACCGTACTTGATGAGGATGGCAAACGTGTTATCGATGTGCCTCTCGGTACTACCATATCTTTCCAGTGTCCGGATTTCAACTTTGTACTCTGCCAAAGCCTTGCGGCCGAGATGGATCATGCCAACGGGCACATTGTGTCCGAAGAAGGATAGGATATATATTAGCTGTAGGGCTTCGGTATACTGGTTGGAATTGAGATCCGTCATTATCTCCCTATATGGTTCAGCTAGGCGGCTGTCAGTCAAGTGTGAGCCGGGTTGGTAGGTTTCTAGTGGTTTCCCACTGGCGTTAAGACGATGACCGAGGGCATGAATAGCGAGTGGCAGACACTCGTAGTACCTGACCAGCTCTCTGGCCTTTTGGGTCTGCCTCGTGTTTGGGTTTGAGATTCCTAGCTCAGTGAAGAGTAGCTGGCATGCGGCCTCCACGGCTAGAGGCTGGACAGCAAGGCCATATGGTTCATAGAGGCGCTGTTTCTGACGAAGAGTGCGGTCGACGGAGGTGTAGATGATGCTAGTATTCGGTTTGAAGGGAAGGAAGTTTTTAAATTCGTTTAGGTCATCTTCGTCTTCAAAGGCGAGGCCGTCAAAGATGAGCAGCCAGTTGTCTCTGCTTTCTAGCCACCGTTTGACATTTGCTGTGTACTTATGGGCCATCAGCCACCTTGGGTCTCGGTCTTCGCGGTCTTCTAAGAGAATGGAGGCAGCAACGGCGATTTCCCATATTCCATTGAGACGAGACTCCGTGGACTTGCCATCGATCCAGAAAATGCCACCGGGGTATAATTTATCGTGGTCGTACATGTACTGTCTGGCTAGATGGGACTTTCCAGAGCCCGGGCTTCCATGGACAAGAACAGCGGCGGGCCCCAGAACCCGCTTCCGTTCGTCCGATAGTACTCTCCGCAACTGATCCATCTCCTCTTGCATCCCAAGAAACACAGAATTGGGGTGAAAGCCCGGCGGACTTACAGTCACCAGGGAATCGTCGTTCTTGCCTAACAGTAGGGGCCGGTTGACATGGCGCAGAGCTTCAGGGTTGGTGAAGATGGGGTCGTGCGGCCCCGGTAGAGAGCTGTGAGAGAGTGCTATATGATTATACACAATGTCAGCATAACTGGCGCATGAATATAAAGTTTGTCACTAAAGAGCAGCAAGACAGCTTACCTAGAGGGTCCTGTGTATCTGAGGGAAGGTCAAAGGCACTGCCAGCGTTAAGCTGCTGGACCTGGAGCCCGGCCTGCATGGCGAGGAGGTACTCCTGCTTCGCTTGCTGCCAACGAGCAACGATGGTAGGCCCGGCAGTAGATGAGTACCGCCGTATGGCCTCTGTGACGGTGTCGTAGCCAGGGGAGTTCTTATCAGCAAAGCGGCACATGGCACCATGGTCAGCCTCGATGCCCATACGCTCGACGCCGTCCCAGACAGGCGCAGCAGAGGACTCCTCGACGATGAAGGCTCGAGTGCTGCCTATGTCCATGGGCTTGGACTCGTGGAAGAAGTAGATGTGGAAGCGGTCCATGATCTGGACGAAGTCGCGGTTGATGACTTGGAGGTGCTCGTTGTCGCTCTGCAAGACCTGGACGAGCTGGGGAGAGGTGGAGAGCAGCCGTTTTGGTATGACGGTGTTGATGAAGGACTGCGCCGTGCTGGCGACTTTGGCAATGCTGGATCCGTTGTGCGGCGTCCCCAGGAAGATGATGCCGAACGTTGATACGAAGATGGACCGCAGATGCTGGGTATGCTGGTGGCTGATTCTGGTGTAGCAGCAGAGAGCCTTCTTCACCACCAGGCCGCCCAGGGAGTGGCAGACGAAGACGATGGGCCGTTCGGTCGATTTGGTGCTCTATCAATAACTACCATGTTAGCCTTGGAATCTGTATAAATAGGAAGGGTAGTTGTATAGCAGGGCCAGCACATACACTCCGCAGCGCACACAGGCTGGTGATAAGATGCTCCGCATGGTTATGCAGCTTGTCCTTCGACGTCCCTCCACTGAAGGAAGCCACATTCGCATCGTAGCCGTAGGTGAGGATCCTGACCTCGAGGCCGCGCAGGGCGTCTGGCAGCAGGTCGGAGGGCCAGAAGACTTCGGGGGGCTTTTTGGTGGCCCAGGTATGGTACGCCGAGCCGTTGAGGCCGTGGACAAACACGATACTGACCCGTTAGCAGGGTGAATACGCAGAAGACAGAGACAGGGACTTACTCGACGGCCGGGCTGGATGTTTGGTAGAGCTGTGTGAGGCCGAACTGCTTGACGGCGACGCCGCGCTTGGTGACTGCGGTCGTCATTCTGCGGCGGACGACAAGCTGTTCTCTAGAGACGAGATGCCAGGCCCATGAGCGAGATCAGCAGAGGAAGAGGAAAAAGCAGAAGAAGCAGAAGTAGTGGAGGAAGAGATATCGAGGCCAGGGGTGTGATGTATTATATTATTATCGGCGGCGGCGCCCTTGCAGCAGCCTGACACACCCACCGTCGATGATCGGTGATGCAACCGCAGTCTTGTGAGCAGCAGCAGAAGAGACGCAGACGCAGCAGCGCCAGCAGGCAGAGGCAGAAGAGGCAGAAGAGGCACCAGGCGCAGGCGGGCTCAGCGGTTCTGCGAGCCCTGGAGGGTCAGCTGCGATGATGCGGCAGTCCTTCTGCTCCGTAACTGACATCACCGTCCGAGGCGGGCGAGTTATTAATGCACCTGCAGACCCTTTTCTCCAGCAACTAACAGGCAGCTAACTAATGACGGCGCTTTTATACCGATAGGACAATGGGCCGCTGTTCTCTCGAAGCTCTTCCCGAGTCTTCTCGCGCTGCCGCCGGCCTGCAAGGGGGTGGGGGGTTTTTCCAGCCTCGTTCCTCCTTGGTAGTCGTGATTCTGCACCAGACATGCGCATCGCTGGCTCGCGATTGGGGACTCGACCAGGCAGACCAAAATAACTGGTCCCGGGCGCGATTGGCGGGCGTTTGGCCAGCCTTGGATGCTCGAGGATGGGCAGGCTGGAGGCTTGTCTTACGGGTTGGTTGGTTGACTCTACAGCCCTATGTGGTGTGCCTGGTCTTCCCTCCCCCGGCAGCGGCCAGGGGAAGCCTTCCTGGTGGCCGGCGGAGACCTCTTTGGGACCCCAGGCGAGCGGTGCGGCTGGGGTGGTGGAGGGCATGGCCTTGAGCTAGTCAGCGAGTTACTGGTTATCTGTTGCGGTTGCGTGTACGGCATGTTGCCTGTGAGAGCCAAAGGCTGGCGTTGCTTTTGACTCCCCCATGGATCGGTCCGCCTCCCCGAACCGCGAGCCAGACATGAGACTGACGAAGTCTTCTCCGAGAAACAGGCTGACAGGCGTTCGACGCTGTTGGCGCTCGCATTCTTCCGGCATACGGAGTGCAGATGCAGATGCAGATGCAGATGCGGTTTCGACGGTGGGGGAAACAAAACCGCCTGCATCACACAGGATTCTACGGACCACCCATTAATAGACAGCAAGGCCGTCTGTGAAACATGGGCGGCTGTATCATGCAGTGCCAGCTCAGCTCGTGATCGTGGTGCGGAGAGGCAGAGATCTCAATAACAACGACGTCTCAGGTCATGTCTCATATAAAAATGCTGCAAGTATCAACGCTTCCCCCTACCCATGGTCTTCCTCTGGGTGTCCGTATACGATCTTGGTGTATTACGATCGTCATTTTTGCAAGCTCTTCATGTCGTCTTCTCCCAGACCGTGTGCTATATGGCTGCTGTGGTGGA